AAAAGATTCAATTCTTTTCCATGAAATAATTTCTGTTGAGCTACTTGTATTTAACTAGTAAAAAATCGTGAAAAAAAATATTGGAGCTATTTACTTAAATACGATTAATTATAAGTAAAATAAATTCTCTAAAAACTGTAAAAATATTAATCACGTTATAACGATAGTAAAATTATTTTACCAAACTATAATATTAAAAATTGTATTATATTCTGCTTAATCATTTTAAAAAAGTATAGTTCAGATAATAGTGATCTTATTCATTACTTTGCCATAGGAAGCATTTAAGAGAAATTTAAAGTTTTGTGCAGGAATACGTTTACAAGAATATTTTATTATATGTGTACAGCGGTGTGTTAATTTACCAATACCCTGCACCATATTCCAGCAGTAAATTTCCTTACAATGAAATCCAAACGAATTCGTTCTTTTTTAGCACAATATTTGATTTTTTAATGAACAAACAATATTCTATATTTATATTTCATCAACTTAATATCAATAATACTTAATTTTTTTTCAGCACAAACTTATCATTTGAGATCAAACTGACAACCAAGGAAGCGATAGGTGGGCAATAATATTTTACGTAAAGTATAAAAATTTGAGCATGAAGTAATTTTATCAGCATTCTGTTCTATATTCTATTCAAAACTTTTTTGTATACGCATAGTTAAAATTATATTAATCTTAAATTTGTAAAATACTTATTCTGACTCGGCAAAATTTTAGAATTTACAATGAAACTAATGTTTTGCGTTGGAGTATGTAATTTTTTACACTAAGTTTAAAGATTATCTGCGATATACATTACTTTTGCAGAAAATAGAAAACTCCCTAACAAATTGACTCTTTTAACACAATATTTGTTTGTTCACTGAAATATATAATAATAGAAGGGCTACTGCTTAAATAAGACAGAACATGCGTGATAGTTTCAGAAATATTGTTGAGACAAAAACACCATCATTTAGGTAATAAAGGAGGTTAAGAATATAGCGAATTAACTAGCACGCATGAGAGCATTTATATTGAATGTAAAGCTATGCTACTTACGGAGTAGTCCGATTCTTTATGGCAGAAGTTGATTTCCTCGTTCCTTTACTCAGGCATAATGATGAAGAGATACTTGAAATCGAAATTCTAGGATTACTTTTAAGTATTCAATCAAGAGCAGCAATGGATTCATTGGTGATCACTGACCCATCCTTTTTGAAGAGTTTAAAATTGGCATCCACCCTTCATGAATTTGCTTACAGTCATTCGTTCCAAGCTGTGTTCAATGTAAACAGTCAATATTTTGACAATAAAGGCTGGTTCACTCTCATCTTTTGGCTCATATAGTTGCGCTTTGTTTAGTTCTTGATGCATCCATCTTTAAAACGACTTTGCATTCTGTTCAAATGCTATTATGTTTTCAATTATATGCAGTTTCCTACCTTTCATAATCCTTAATGGTGGTGCCACTATCGTTACTATGAATTTGACACGCGTCCATTTTTTGTTTGAGCAATACTTATATATTCAGATTAAATCTAAACTAAAATTATAACTTTCTGTAAAGGCAAAGTTACTATTTAAAAGGAAACTAATAATCTAAGAAGCAACATGTAGGCAGTAATATTTTGTGCAAAATATTAAAGCAAGTACCAGTTTATAGATTTTTTTGCCCTGTGCTGTTCTCTACACAGCTACATTTCGTGATAAATGTCTAACAAAACAATATTGTTTTGCTTAGGGGCGTGCAACAACAAATTCGGCGCTGACTGTCGTCCTTAGTTATAAAATACACTCTATAACAAAAAAATCGACGCACCGAGAAGCAATCATCCTATCGCTTCTTGGTACCAGATTACAGTGATGCATGGCTCGATCAGGCTGGAATGATGCCGACTGGGGACGTATAGTCTTTAGCGACGAATCCCGCTTCCAACTGTGTCCTGACGATCATCGAAGACGTGTTTGAAGACGCACAGGGCAGAGAGGGGATTATGCCTTCACTATTGCACGCCACACCGGCCCTCAACAAGGCATTATGGTCTGGGGTGCCATTTCCTTTGACAGCCGGACCCCTTTGGTCGTCATTAGAGGTACACTTACTGCACAGCGGTACGTCGACGACATCCTAAGACCTGTTTTGCTACCGTTCCTTTTGCAGCGC